CCCGACGAGCGGAGTAGCGCCGAAATCGATATTGCCATTTTGAATTAGGGTTAGTGTGGCCGCAATTCGATGGTATTGGCCTCCGGGAGCTATCCCACAGTGCACCATTGTGACCGCTCTGGACAGCAATCTGAACTTGGATGCACTGGCCAGATAGACAGGAAAAGCCCCGCGAACATTTGAATTTCATTTCCTGTTTGCCCAGCCCAGGAGAGCACAGGTGACCACAGAGAGCTCGTCAGCACAGGTAACCATGCAGGCCGATAATCGAAAAAGAGCACTAGCATGGACCGTACAGGAGGTACTGGATCTGATCGCTATATGGGGAGAGGATTCAGTGCTAGCAGAACTACGTTCGAAAAGACGAAATGCCAAAACTTTTGAAAAAATCTCCAAGGGCATGATGGAGAGAGGCTACAATAGGGACTCAGATCAGTGCCGCGTGAAAGTTAAGAAGCTCAGACAAGCCTATCAAAAAACAAAGGAGGCAAACGGTCGCTCCGGGTCAGAGCCGCAGACATGCCGCTTCTACGCTGAGCTGCATGCAATTCTAGGGGGGCCGCCACCACTACCCCACCTCTGACCGTGGATTCCGAGGCGGGGGTAATCTCATCAGCTACACCTGAGGATTCTGCGGACGGGGAAGAGGAGGAGGAGGAGGAGCTTGCGGAGAGCACACAGCACTCTGTTCTCCCAAACAGCCAGGATCTTTTTCTCAGCCTGAGTGAAGTACCCTCCCAAGGCAGTATCCCAGACCATGACCCCATGGAAGGGACCTCAGGTGAGTTTACTTTTTAAAATATAAAACATGGTTTAAAAGCAAGCATTTTTTTAATGATTACTTTGCCCTGAGGACTTGGGATGTATTCGCGGCCAGTACAGCTACTGGAAAAGTCTGTTAACATGTCTGGGGATGGAGCAGACATCTCCATGAAGCTCTCCTGGAGGTACTCCAAAAGCCTTTGCAGAAGGTTTCTGGGCAGTGCAGCCTTATTCTATCCTCCATGGTAGGACACTTGACCACGCCATGCTAGTAGCAAGTAATCTGGTATCATTGCATGACAAAGCCTGGCAGTGTATGGTCCCGGTGTTTGCTGGCATTCAAGCAACATCTGTTCTTCATCTCGCTGTGTAATCCTCAGGAGAGTGATATCGCTCATGGTAACCTAGTTGAAATATGGGAATTTAATTGAGGGGACAGAGGTGACCCTTCCTACTGGGCTGTTTGCCTGTGGCTGAAAAGAAATCCTTCCCTGTAGTTAGCCAAGCGCGGGGGGGGGGGGGGGGGGGATAGGGCGGGGGGCTTTTCGCGTTTGGCTGGCAGGGATCTTCCCTGATACCAGCCATGCGGTGGGGGGAGGGGTAAAGCGATCATCCCAGATAATTCATGGCGGCGGGGTGGGGTTAGTTTGTTTTCTGCTACTGAAGGTTAACAGGAAAACCGCAGCACTCAACGGGCTTTGCTTGGTATGTGGGAAAGGAGGGCGCAGAAGTCGAAAGACAATGGCTTACCATGGCTGCCTGCAAGCTGAATTCTGTTGCCCGGACCTGCGTCTGTGATCTCTAACACCAAAGCCACAGGCACTCAATATTAAGATGCAAAATGCGACCTTGCACTGAAATCACATGTGCTATGTAATGTGAATAGTGTTGTTCACCGTGAAAGAGTATAAGCATTGTTCTGTAAAATGTCTCTTTTTAAAAAGGATTGGTTCCTGGGTTGATGTTTCTGTGGTGTGGTGTGTAGTTGCTGGTGAGTATTTGCTTCAGGGATTGGTTCCTGGGTTGATGTTTCTGTGGTGTGGTGTGTAGTTGCTGGTGAGTATTTGCTTCAGGTTGGGGGGTTGTCGCTTACAGACAACCAGTGCAGGCGCGCGACCACACTGGTGGGTTAGAGCGCTGCCGCTAAGTGTAGACAAAACCTTAGAGACTACAACTCCCATGATGCCTTGGGGGAAAGGGTGAGACATTTTCTCTCTCCGGAAGGGCAGGGAGGGCAGGCGGTGGACTCCATTTTGGGGAGAGGAGTGAGATTGCTGCTGTGGAGCTCTGTCCATACCAGGCGCTGCTGCTGAGAGCTCACAGGGGCTTTGATCGAGCAGGGAGCTTCAGAGGCGGTTGGTGGTTTCCCTGGAGAATATGGCTGTGCCTGGAGCTGACTGAGACGGGCCTGCAGTGAAGGACTGTGAGTAACCCCACCCTTGTCTGGGAAAGTACTTGCAAGGGAAGGGGCACAGCGGAGAGACAGGCTTTGTATACACTGGCAATTGAGCGACAAAATTTTTGTTGTTCACAAGTGCTTAAATACTTCCCGCCCCCCCCCAAAAAACCCTAACAACTTGTGAACAGCGTGTTGTGGGTAGGAGCGCTCTCCCATTGTCAACATGAACCCCACTCCTAGGGGGTGGAAGTATTTTGTGTGGCAAAAGTTCTGACAAACAGCATTTACACTGCCCGACTTGGCCGTGTGGCTGAAAGCTGTGTAGTGTAGTCTGAGTTTTTGTCTATACTGTCACTTGGCAAATCTTTTGTTGTTCAGGGTTATTTAAAAAACACACACACACAGCAAAAGTTTTACCAACAAAAAATGCTGGACACGATGGAAGTTTTTTGTCTGCAGGAAAGCTGTCTCCTGCCGACAAACAGCAGCTACACTGCGCTCCTTTTAGCGGCCTTAAAGCCTCCTAGTGTACCCACTGACTGAGTTTGAGTCAAGGCAGAGTGATCTTCTGGTCGAGCCCCCGGGACCCAGAGCTGCGGATGTTTGGTGGAGCCAACTCCAGTCGCAGAGGGGTTGTGCAGCTTGTGCCTGGCCTGGACTGACACGCAGAACCTGCACAGTGGGGTCTCCAGCTGCAGATCTTCCATTGCGCCCACGCAAGTGTCTAGGACTCTGCAATCCAGAGCAGTGCACGCTGCAGGGTCGGGTAAATGGGAGCAGTGTACATGCCAGTTAGACAAGTTTCATTTATTACTGTATCCTATGTTTGTTAATTGATTTTATTCAAATGCCCCTTGTGGATTTAAATTGGTAGTGACATTTAATCTTAATCTGTTATACCCTGTTTCTTTAAATTGTTAAATTAACGTTTGTAACTCTAATATAAATGTATTGGATGTATATTATTTATAATTGGTATTTTTTAGTTACACCCATGCCATAGATTATTATTATTTTGGAATAGGTTTATTCCTGGAGGTTCCCAAGGCACACCAGTAGTGAGTGTGTATAGGGGCCAGACAGGTGGAGGCCAATTTTAAATTCCTTTAGGAGTAAAGGGACTGCAGTCCATGGGTGGATAGAGGATTCCCCACATCCAACATCACCACTGGGATTTAATGTCAACAACATCAGGCACCCAGGCACATAGAGAGTGTTTCCTGTCCCCAAGTAACCCAGGGAGGAAAGGGCAGGGGGAGGTTTACATTTGTATTAGAAGTGGACCTGATTAGAACAAGAACACCAGAACTTTGGCAAAGTTTCAATCCCAGTCAAACTAACATTGCAACTCTGGCCTATTTCTAATTCACATCAGACACTGTTTTGAAACTTTTAAAAATAATTTCTAAGTATGATGGTTTAAGCTAAGTATTATCTTAATGGAATTATCTTTCCTTCTTCTGTTTTGGCATAACTCTGCCAATATTGTTGGCCTATGCCGTTTTTGAGGGAATGGAATGAGGGATTTTATGATCTGCTCTGTTTTCTTTAGAAAATGCTTGTATCTCTTCAGTGTCCTGACTTGCTTGATTCTGTTTATAACTATGGGAAAATAGCTGTTTAAAGTCTAACCTGTATAAATGTAGGTTTTCAATATATTCATTATTTTATTTACCCTCCCCTATCTCCTTTATTGTCTCCTTTCCAGAACTGAAGGACCCCTGGGCCAGCAGCTAACAGGCTCACAGCAGAGCAGCCATCAGGTAGAAGGCAGGCGGCTGCAGTAGGCTGCACAGGAAGGGCGGTGGCAAGGTCAGACGGACGTTTGCAAAGTGAAAGTGACTTCGCTGTTTCTCGTAGGTGCAATGGCCGCCAGGAACCGTGTAAAAGATCTCCAAGCAGTTGCTAACTGTTCCCTTTGCCAGGATTATTTTAAAGATCCGGTGATTCTGAAGTGTGGGCACAACTTCTGCCGATCCTGTATCACTCGGTACTGCGAGTCTGTGGACTTCATGAACATCTCCCCCTGCTCCTATACCTGCCCCCTGTGCAGAGAAGCCTTCCGGGAAGGAGAATTCCAGCCTAACCTGCAGCTGAGGAATATAGCAGATATAATGAAAAAAATCCCAGAGCCAGGAGGGAGGAGAGCATGCAAAGAACATGGGAAGCTTCTGAAACTTTTCTGTGAAGTGGATCAAACCCCCATCTGTCTGGTCTGCAGAGAGTCCCCCACTCACAAAGAACACCCCGTGGCTCCTGCTGATGAGGTTGCCCTCGATTACAAGGTAATAATTAGTAATTATTGCATTGCAAATGTCTCCCAGCCAGGGCGCTCGATAACCATTCAGAACAGAGCCGTCTGAGAAATATAAAACCAGCAATGTAATAAAACTAGCTTCCTACAATCACAAGATAAAATCCCCTCTGTTTTTCTATGCCAGAGGAATGTTGAGACATGTTTTTAAGACCTGCTCTACCTAGAGTTAAATCAGTAAAAACACTCGGTTGGTTGGGGGGTTTGATTTATTTCTTTTAAAACAAAATAGTTATACCAGCAAAACCCCTAGTGTGGATACAGGCTGTACTGATACAAATGTGCCTTATTCCAGGAATGCTTGTTTCCCTTTCCATGCAGGAATAAGCTATGCATTCTTCTACTACGGGTATAACTACGTCCATGCTAGCAGGGGTGTATGGTTTTAATTGTACCAGGATACTTAAAGCATAGTATGATTTGTGTGCCCTAGAGCAAGGTCATCCCCCATGTAGGGAAAAATCCACTGGGGAAGAGAGAAAATTATGGCCACTCCTAACCCTGTTTTCCCTCCTCAGCCCCAAGCAATACCTGCTTTCTCCCTCTCTATAATAAAAACCCAAACCACATTAAACACCTTTTACAGCAGGGAGTCTTGTAACTGATGTAAATTTTAATTAAGCACTATGGTTGCAAGGATCAAGCAGCTCGGCTTCACTTTGTGTAGAGGGCGGGGGGGTAAAGAAGAATTAAAGATGCTACATGCCCACAGTTTCTGTGTATCATTGAGTTAGATCTGTTTGGACTGTGTTCCAGTGAATCATCTCACTGACTGTCCCCTAAATTCTCAGGCAATCCCAGTGCATAGGGGGGTGGTTAGGAATTGGTTATGCTTAGGGTAAGGGTGAGCAGGGCTGTCACTAGCTATTCTGGGGCCTGACACAGCCCCCCCACAGGGGGGGGGGGAAGGCCTCTGTGGGGGGGCCCAGGCCTTTTGGGGGTGTGGGGCCCCAGGCCTCCGCAGGGGGACTGCCCTATGCAGCAAGCCCTACACAGCTGCATACTTTGCGTATGGGTAAGGATGGCCCTGAGGGTGAGGCTTCTTTCTCAGGCCCATCCAGAAATGTCAAGGCTGCTGTAATACCAAAATGTGCCCTGCATGACAGTGTGGTTTGCAGACTGCTCAGAAAATTCATAGTGAGCATGTGCAGAATGTGTCCACATGTGCACTGGGGGGAATGTGAAGCGTCAGTCAAGCCCCTGCCCTAAGCTTGGTTTGTCTGTGAGGCCTAGATTCACAGAAGTACTCAGGTGCCTAAACCCCAGTTGGAGCCTCCACTGCAATTCACAAAACTCCGGCTGAGCCCTGTAGGTGCCCAAGTTCACTCGGCCTCTACGTTTTTCAATAAATAGTTCCCTCAGCACCTGTGTTTCTACCTCTGGCCATTCATAATACTGCCTCACTCTAGGCATCCAGGTGCGTATCATCCACCTAAGCCCCAGAGCAACTCACTATCCCAAGAAAGGTCAGTGTTGGGCCACTTAACTTGCATGAGGCCCAATCTGGTAGGTGGCCTCTGAGCATGCCCACCCAGTCAGGCCCCTCAGGCGAGTTCATGCAGAGGTGGATACGTCTCATAACTTTAAGGGGTTAGGGTACTCACCTGGGATATGGGAGACCACCAGTTCCTCCCTTCCACCTGATGGAAAGAAGGGATTTGAACAGGGATCTGCCACCTCTCTATGGGAAATTCTGATGTAGGGCTCCCTCCATCTTTCCTGTCAAAGCTGTTCCACTGGGGATAAATACTTAGAGTCATTTGGGCCAAAGAGAGAGATCACAAGCATGAGTAACTGTATAGCCAGATGGTTAGAGCATGCACCTATTTTATTATGTATTTAATATTCTTGAAAATATAAATGGGGGGGGAGGGGTGGAACCTCCCAAAGCATCAAAACTAAACCAGTTTTTCTTTCGTTAGGCCCAGATTCAGAGCTGTTTGGACATTTTGAAGAATGAGAGAGAAAATATTCTGTCATTTAAACTGAGTGGGGAAAATGAAAGCCAGGAACTGCTGGTAGGTGCGGTTATTATTCAGCAGCAAATGTGCACAGGGACATTATCAATACTCTGCTTTGTCTGAGTATCATAAGAAGAATTGTTCCATTCCATGAAAGACTGACTTATTTATCCTCATTGTAAAGCAGGGGTGGGCAAACTTTTTGGCCTGAGGGCCACATCTGGGTATGGAAATTGTATGGTGGGCCATGAATGCTCACAAAATTAGGGGTTAGGGTGCAGGAGGGGAAGAGGGCTCTGGCTGGGGGTGCGGGCTCTGGGGTGGGCCAGAAATGAGGCGTTCAGGGTGTGGGAGGGGGCTCCGGGCTGGGGCTTGGGGTGCAGTGGGGGGGGAGAGCTCCAGCTGGGAGTATGGGCTCTGGGGTGGAGATGAGGGGTTGGGGTGCTCTGGGCTGGGACCAAGGGGTTTGGAGGGCAGCAAAGGGATGCGGGCTGGGGCAGGAGGTTGAGGCACAGGACGGGGTCAGGGGTGCAGGCTCCAGGCGGCACTTATCTCAAGCACCTCCCGGAAGCAGCAGCATGCCACCCCTCCAGCTCCTATGCAGAGGCACGGCCAGGTGCCTCAACATGCTGCCCCGTCCTCGGGCGTCGCCCCTGCAGCTCCCATTGGCCGTGGTTCCCAGCCAAAGGGAGCTGCAGGGGCGATGCCCGAGGACGGGGGCAGCATGCAAAGCCCCCTGGCTGCCCCTACGCGTAGGAGCTGGAGGGGTGACAGATACGCTGCTGCTTCCAGGAGCCGTGTGGAGCCACAGCACGCGTGCAGCGGGGCAAGCCCCCGGCTGGAGTGTTGAAACAGGGCAAGCCCTGGACCCTGCTCCCCAGTAGGAGCTTGAGGGCCAGATTAAAACATCTGAAGGGCCGGATGCAGCCCCCGGGCCGTAGTTTACCCACCCCTGTTATAAAGAAAAGCTGTGGCTTAATTAAGAGTAAGCAGGAAAATAGAGCATTAAAGAAAGTTTTAATAATCCAAATATTTCCATTGATGATGTGATTAATTTGTTTAGTTAACAGTAGTTTCTCCTTTAGTTTAGAGCTGGTTGACATTTTTCAACCATAAAAATGTCATGCAGAAAAATGGGGTTTAGTAGAAAAATCCCTCCCTGCCCCCTGTGGGAAAATGTCATTTGCAAAAAAAATTGCAGTTTTTTGGCAGGAAATTTCCAAATAAACAAAAACATTTATTTTCATTTCAAACAGAAATTTTCAAAAATTCGAATGTTTGTTTTTTATCCCTTTGTTTTCTCCTTTACTCCTTTTTGCAACTGAGTAGAATATAATGAATGATTTCTAGGGCTTTTTCTCCTAGTTTCTTTTTTTGGGGGTCACTTTTTCTAAAATGGGAGAAGTTTTGAAGAGTTAGAGAGAGAAGAGAATAAAAGGAAAAAAGGGTGTGTGTGTAAATGGACATTTAGAAAAAATGGACTTTTTAAAAATAGCAACAAATTTGAAATTCCAATTTTACGTAGAGACTTCCGGTTTGGCCAATGTATATGGCAGAGGGGCATTGCTGGCACATGATGGCATATACGTGATATATAGCATATATGTGCCAGCAATGCCCCTCTGCCATATACATTGGCCAAACCGGACAGACTCTACATAAAAGAATAAATGGACATAATCTGACATCAGGAATCATAACCTTCAAAAACCAGTGGGAGAACACTTCAATCTCTCTAACCACTCAGTGACAGACTTGAAGGTGGCAATTTTGCAACAACAAAAACTTCAAAAACAGACTCCAAAGAGAGACTGCTGAACTTGAATTAATATGCAAATTAGATACAATTAACTTAGGTTTGAACAGAGACTGGGAATGGTTGGGTCATTACACTAATTGAATCCATTTCCTCATGTTAAAATATGTTAAAATATCCTCACACCTTCTACGGGTCATCTCTATTATCACTTCAAAGTTTTTTTTCCCTCTCTCCTGCTGATGATAGCTCATCTCAATTGATTGGCCTCTTACAGTTGGTATGGCTACTCCCACATCTTCATGTTCTCTGTATGTATTGTGACAAAGTTCCTCCTCTATCTTGGTGGGTCCTGCACTTATTGGCGGATTTTCTTGCCTCGGAGATTCACCATGTGGGTTGGGGAACAGCCCAGAGACCTTCCCCTCTGGAAGAACCCACAGTCCAGGTCAATTGGGAGGTTTGGGGGGAACCCGGGCCAGTCCTCTACTCCGGGTTCCAGCCCAGGGCCCTGTGGACTGCAGCTGTCTATAGTGCCTCCTGTAACAGCTGCATGACAGCTACAACTCCCTGGGCTACTTCCTCATGGCCTCCTCCAAACACCTTCCTTATTCTCACCACAGGACCTTCCTCCTGGTGTCTGATAACGCTTGTGCTCCTCAGTCCTCCAGCAGCACACCCTCTCACTCCCAGCTCCTCACACTCACACCACAAACTGAAGTGAGCTCCTTTTAAAACCCAGGTGCCCTGATTAGCCTGCCTTAATTGATTCTAGCAGCTTCTTCTTAATTGGCTCCAGGTGTCCTAATTAGCCTGCCTGCCTTAACTGGTTCTAGCAGGTTCCTGATTACTCTAGTGCAGCCCCTGCTCTGGTCACTCAGGGAACAGAAAACTACTTATCCAGTGACCAGTATATTTGCCCTCTACCAGACTCCTGCACCCCACTGGTCTGGGTCTGTCACAGTATAAATATCTTCTTTCTGTGTGTTCCATTCTATGCATCCAATGAAGTGGGTTTTAGCCCACGAAAGCTTATGCTCTAATAAATTTGTTAGTCTCTAAGGTGCCACAAGTACTCCTGTTCTTTTTGCGGATACAGACTAACACGGCTGCTACTCTGAAACCAATTTTTTTTGCAAATTCCTCCCATTTTTTGGATTGAATTTCAACAGACATAACTACAACAGGACAGTGAGGGCAGCTGCTCTAAAAATCTGCTGCCCCAGAGAAGGCTGGACACTTAAGGCCTAATCAAACCCTACTGAAGTCATTGGTAAGACTCCTATTGATTGTGGTGAGCTTTGGAACAGCCCCTAGTGATATCGCTGCTAGACGTTGCCATGAAGATGATTTGGGTTTTAAATATGCTGTAAGTTTCTTGCTCCTAGCGTATCAGGAGCTAGAGGGCTCCAGAAAGAGCATGAATTGGTGGGCTTCTGTCCAGTTCATATGCACACGTTTCTAAGTGCCCTGCAAACTCAGATTTGCACATGCAAATAGATGTCTTGCCAGCAACCGAATTTATGTTCAGAATCCCTGTGTGAATTAAAATTGGAGATTTATGATGGGACAAAATGTATGTATCCTAAACTGTGCATTCAACACTCATCAGAGCAATTGTTGGTGCTCTAATTTTAAAGCCTGTTTTAGAAACATAGCCCTATACATCTAGGTGTATTTTGTGGAGAGAATCTGTTCCCCAATTCAAGTCTAGTGCTTCTTAGTTTGGGTTCTGCCGTTTGCTCCCCAGAAATAATCCTTGCCTGTCCAGTTCTGAATTCCACACCTGCTGTCCTTCCTGTTGTTGGAATAATCTGGTTTTCTAGAAGCCACTGGTAACAGAATATTCTAATAATAGAAGATAAATTCATTTTCTAAACACCAGTTAGAACTGTTGAAAATCTCTTCAAAAATCCTCTGTCTGAGCATAGAGTTTTGAATTCTACGGGGTTGCAATGACATGCTCCCATGTGCATACATAAGGCTTTATAAAATGTCCCATAACTCACTCTGTCACTCTGTCCTTGACCTGTTCTTTCCCTGTTTGTGTTTCTTCATTTCAGAAACAGCTGGAAACTGAGAAGCAGAAGATTGTGTCTGAATTTCAGCAACTGCGCCAGTTTCTGGAAGAACAAGAGCGACTCCTGCTGGCCCAGCTGGAAGAGCTGAATAAGGAAGTTGAAAAGAGGAGGGCTGAGTATGTTGCCAAACTATCTGAGGAAATATCTTCTTTCAGTTCCCTGATCAGTGAGATGGAGCAGAAGTGCCAGCAGCCAGCAAGTGAATTCCTGCAGGTGAGACAGTGTTAGAAACACCCTGGGACCTTTCACAGGGAAAGAAAGTCTCCTAACCCTTCACTTTTGGAGTGTAGGAGTGAATGGTCAGAACATACAGTATTGCTAAAATATACATTATTTTTCCTTAAGGCCCTGATTCAATACCCATTAAAGTCAATGGAAAGATACTTCTTGCTACCATGGCCATTAGATCGAGCTCTAAATGAAAAAAAAACCTTTTGAATTCTAGTTGAAGACTCCTCCAAAAATGGCAAACTCTGTTCTCCCTGTCTCATAATGCAAGAGCAAAGGGACATTCAATAAAATTAGAAAGTGACAAATTCAAAACTGATCCAAAGAACACTTTCCCACACATCACGTAGATAGACTTATTGACACAGGATGTCGTCAAGACCAAGCATTAAGCAAAACTCCAAGTGATTGGACTTCATAACTTGGGACATACTTGTTATCGATATAAATTAATGATACAAATTGTGTACATGACATTAAACCTCGTGCTTCATTGCTTCAGCCAGTCTCTGACTGTTACAGAGCAGGATGAGATGGGGGCAGATTATCTTACACCTTCCCCTGAAGCATCTGGCACTGTCCACCTTTGGAGACAGAATACTGAACAGAGGGATCTAAAGTCTGATCCAGTCTGGCATTTCCTGTGTTCCAACCCCTAACTCCAAAAGATGAAAAATGGAACCTGTCATTAATTATGGAAATCGCTAAGATTGAAGCTGAGTTTCCATTTTAAGCATGATTTTTGCCATTTTTCCTACATACTACAAAAGAGGGAAAATATTAGCCTCAGAATTGATGTATGAGGTCTGATGAGGCTGTGGTGATTTTATTTTGTCTGCCAGAACTGAAGTTAGTTAGGGAAGCTGTTCGTTACTTATGGTACCCTGAAAGTGTAAGTAGTTGTTAGAATTCCAAAAGCTTTCTAATGATTTCATTTTCAAAAAGTGCCTCTAACTAGCAAAAAAAAGACAAGAAATAAAACGTAGCATCCTGGACTTCTCTAGCTGATATCTAGGGTTAAATTCTCTGTTGCAGCCAGTATCTGCTGTGGGCAGCGTTCTTCACTTCTCAGTTCTCCTGCATTGAACCTGGGGTGTAGGATAGTGAATGTCCCTCTGTTACTCTGTACTGCACACCCATTGTTCTCACCCAGCCCCAACTTCCTGTGGCTGTCAAGAGTTTGTGGGAGAGTGGGAAGCGAGTTTACAGCATGGGGGCAGCACAGCATGGGGGCATCCCTCCCTCTGGACCCATTCGAGTCCTCAGAAGAGAATCGTCTCCAAACCTGCAAGTGTTCGGAAGATCCTTGTTCAAGACATCGCAAGACTGAGCCCACTGATTCCATGTGCCAGTTGGTTATCCAAATGTCATTACACGAAGAGCTAGTGTGCCTCCTTATACAAACTTCCTAGGCCCAGATCCTGCAGTCAGAGCACTTTTCCAAAAGAGCAAAGGCAACACATTGAATGTTTTTGTTTGTAATAAATAAATAACAAAGTATGAAAACTAAGTGAGTCCCCTCCAGAGCAGGAGGGATCCTTAGTATGTGATAAATGGGACTGAATTTCCTTTTATCTTTCTCCTCTAGGACATCAAAGGCACCTTAAGCAGGTATGTGGCTTCTTCTCCTCTCCCTCTACAATGCAGGGAAGGGATTTTGGACAAGAGACCTGGCTCCCCATGGTCCAGCAGTGCAGAGTGTGGGGCTGGTTCCCAATCTCCCTCTGTTAAATCTAATCTTGGGGCTGTTGTCATTTTGACTAGACTCCAGAATAGAGCAGCCTGAGAAAAGAGTTATTTACCTACAGACAGGGTTGTTTATAGTGTAGCTGGTGGAATGGAGACCTCAGGAGACTGGGGATAGAGAATGGGTCTCTCCTTTCTAAGTCATTGACTCCAAACTCCACCTAGGTTGGTAGGGATGGAAAGTCAGGGCCATCTGATGACTATTCAATGAGCTGTTTATTAATTGTTGTTATGCAGTAAGCTCTATCAGTGGGCTTGGCGTGGCAACGGATATGATGGAAGAGACATTCTCTGCTCTAAGGAGTTTATAATGTGCTATTAGTAGTAGTACTATGGTAGTGCCTAGAGGCTCAAGGCAAAGTCAGGGCCGAATATACTGGGCACTGCACAGACACACAGAAAGAGACAGTCCCTGCCCCAAGGAGTTTACAGTCTAAATAGACACAAGAGACAAAAGTGGGGAAGGGAGGATTAAAATCAATTTAAGATGAAATTTGATAAAGACAAGTGCAGCACAGTACTTTGCACTTAGAAAGGAAAAATCAAATGTACAAATACAAAACGGGGGAATAACTGGCTAGGCAGCAGTACTGCAGAAAAAGATCTGGAGGTTAAAGTGGATCACAAATTGAAGGAGTTGGCAGTGTGATGCTCTTGTGAAAAAGGCAAATGTCGTTTTGGGATGTTGTCACGGGGTGCTCTACTCCCTACAGGTGGTGCCTCCTCCTGGTTGTTCTGTGGATTAGCTCTCTTCCAGGTTCAAAGGCTACCCTTGCGGTCTCTCACCCCATTGTCCTCTCCCTCATTCTGCAGCCCCATCTCTTGGTCCAGGAGCTGTAGCTTCCTCTTCGTGACTCAGCCATCTGAGGATATAGTCTCTTACTGGACTTGCTGGCCAGACAATGTCACTTCATCAGTGGGCAGTAGAGGAACCACGCCCAATACTTTGGGTTCCACACCATGGACCTTACCACATGCAGCCAAAGTCTGTTCAATCTCCAACTTTGCTGCTCTCCCTGGTCTGCTTCCTGCTCACCTCCTATAGGCTTTCTTCTCCACCCTTCTCTCTTCTGAGTATGCCCTTCCCTCAGGGCCAGGCTCCCAGTGTCCTCTTCTTTCCCTGGATTTCCCTCCTCCTCTCTCTAATGGACAGAGGGTGGCCGCAGACTTTCTCACTGCAGCCATTTCTGTTGCCAGCTTCCTGGCTTTGTACTAGCCCAGCCCAGCCCCCGCTTGCTCAGTTGAGCTTCATATTCCAATCAGAGGTTGCTTCTCTGGCCTAAACCACTCATGTGTGGCCTGTCTCACTAATCTCCTCTTTCTCAGCTTCCTTCACTCTTTCCCAAAGGGGGTCAGTAATTGAACCCAGGTCTCTTTAGGACCCCACTGCTTTAGCCACAAGACCATCCTTCCTCTCACAATAGTTCACAAACTGTGGTCTGTGGCCCACTGGTGGTCCACAGTGCACTTGCCAGTGGGTGCAGAGCGCTGGCTGATCATTTGGTGCTCGTTTTGTTCTTTATTTCCAGCTGCTTCTGTCATTCAAAGTATCTAAGTACACACTAACTAAGTTCCTAATATGACTTTATCCATCTAAGCAATTGTTATAGGTGCCATAGGAATGGTATGTGATCACAGATGGAACAGGAAGTGGTCCACAAGATTGTGAATGGGAGAGGAGATGTCTGCCAGACAATCTCTCTGTTGAGTTGTGGTCTGGTCTATGAAAGTTTGAGACCCCCTGTGCTAGTAGACTGACCATTGTATGTATCCAAAGAGCTAAATAAGAACATAAATTATCTTTGAAATGGGTTAGTGGGTCTCACTCCAGGTCCTGGTACAATGGGTATCTACATCACCACAAGGATTGTCACTAATTATCTCCCTTAAATGGTGTACAGGATATAAGTCAGGTGATCCTGCTTACCCACACTCACAATACAAGAACAAGGGGATGTTCAGTGAAACTGAAAGGCAACTAGTGTAAAGCTGAGAAAAGGAAATACTTTATTGTTACACAATTCATTATTAAGCTGTGGAACTCATTGTCACATGGTATTACTGAATGTCATAGATTCATAAAATTGAAGGCCAGAAAGGACCATAAGATCATCACATTTGACCTCCTGTGTATCATAGGCCCTTAAAATTTCACCCAGTTATTCCTAATAACTTGTGTTGACTAAAGCACCTCACAGAAAGCCATTTAGTCTGGATTTGAAGACATCAAGGGATGAAGAATCCACCACTTCCCTTGGGAGTTTCTTCCAATGGCTAATCGCCCTCACTATTAGAAATGTCTGCCTTATTTCCAATTTGAATTTGTCTGGCTTCAGTTTCCAACCATGGGTGGTTCTTATGCCTTTGTCTGCTAGATTGAAGAATCCTTTAGTACCCAGTGTATTCTCCTCTTGAAGATATGTATACACCATACTCAAATGTCACTGTTCTCTTAGTGTAAGTCATTCTTTACCAACCCTCACATCATTTTCTGTAGTTCTTCTCTGCACCCTCTTCAGTTTTTCAACGTCCTTTTTCAACTCAACACCAGAACTAGATGCAGTTTTCCAATATCGGTCTCACCAAAATGAAAGAGAAGCTTGTAGTGTCACAGCTGGTATTGGACCTATTCCTGGGGCAATAGAGAATTTAATCCCCCAGGGTCTGCTGAGCTACAACCATTCACTAGAATAAAATACATTTTAGTAAAAAACAAATACGAACTAACTCCACCATGAGTAACACTGGGTTGTTCTTCAGATGTGAGAGGGAGAAGTTTCGGAAGCCAGTGGCCTTTTCTTCTGAACTGAAAAGGAGAATCAGGGAATCTTCTCAAAAAAATGCAGCTCTGGAGACCATAGTGAAGAAATTCAAAGGTAATACAAATTTCCCCAGGTGACTGTTTAACCTATATTACACTGATAGGCGTCAGAGGTGGGAAAATCTCTCAGGGAAAATGATTTTTAGCCTATCCCCAAGCTGGGCAGTTGATTGAGACAGTCAACTAATCATTTAGAGCATATGAATTCCCTTAGGTCTCAATACAACATGTACACACTGGATTAGGGTCTGGGGTTTTCTTTTCTTACCAGCAATAAACATTAACCGTAGCCTGAGCTCCAGAATTCACTGTTTTTCAAGTTTGTCTGTTTGGGTTTTTCCCCTCCTAGTCCCTCTCTGTCACCCTTAGTCCCTCTCTTGTTTTAGAGAGTCTCATCTTTTATCCTTCTGTGCTGGAGATACTGGGTATGTCTACACTATAATATAAGCCCAGGGTTCAAATTCAGGCTCAAGCTTAACCCCTGTCCATCTCCACGCAAATCAGACTAACCTGGCTCAGATCCAGGGTCATGGGATGGAGGGTCCAAGCCTGAGTCAAGCCAGGACCCAGGGTTCAAGACTTATTTCTTTGCAATGTAGGTGAAGCCCCACTGGACTCATGCTCTGGGAGTTGACCAAAAGTATCCCACAATCCCACAGGCCAACTTTCTTTGTCCTCTGGACAGTCAGATTTGGTGGACAGTCAAGTTTTTTTCCACACTTAACCATGAACAGAGGGCTGGAGCGGCCATATTTTGGCAGGGCACTAGGAAGTCTGGAATATGGGTGGTTGGAGTTGGGGCCCACGTAATGCAGTGGGCTGGATCCCCTGGTTGGGACCCAGGATTCAAGAATTCCTATGTGGGTCCCAGTGTAGACGCTCAAGCCCTAGGTTAACAAACCCAGGGTCTGTTAACCCGAGTTCTGCTCACCCTGAGCTTACATTGCAGTGTAGACATACTACTCCTGGGGAAATTATGCACCTCTGTGGATGCGCAGAATTCATCTGTCTCGTATAATTTTTTTATTTTCCTGCATAAAATACATTTTGCCTAAGAAGTGTTGCAGTTCTGCCTTTTGCCCACCAGAGGACGCTATGGCGCTAGAACAGCCAGCATGTAGCCAGCTGTTCTGGCACCACAGCGCCCTCTGGTGAGCAAAAGGTGGAACAGCAGCTCTTAGGCAAAATGTATTTTATGCAGGAAAATAAAAAAATCTATGCCCAGTTCTGTAGAATTCCCCCAGGAGTAAGACCTTCATCACAGCTCCCTGCCCATGTAGCCAGGTTAGGACAGAATGGGGAAAACACGGCTGCTGGGGGAGGGTCACAGACGGGTTCAGAATGGCTAGTGGGGGGGAACAGACTGGGGCATGGGCTCAGGAGCTAGTGGGGTGACAGCGTTGAGCCTGGGGACAGGGGGGCTGCAAAGACCCATGGGGATGCGGGGTGTGGGGACAGGGGCAGATGTGCCTGACTGAAGGGAGAGGCTTGGGGTCAGCCAGGGTCTGCATGGGGGAGGCTTCCCAACTCCCTAACAATCTTCCCCCCCCCACAAGAAAAACCTCCGACCCACACCCCAAACTCTCCAGGTTCGCTCCTTCCCTCTCCCTCAGCTCCTCCCTTATCCCGGACTCCCCCAAGCCTTTGCACTGCTTCTGACAAGTCCAGAAAATACAGTTCTGTATTGTAATTTAAATGAATTGCACAAAATTCT